ATGCCCCAGTTGGCAGGGTTTGAATGCAGTTCCGCCCTCATTGCGGCGCACCCCTCACACGGCTCGTGGCCCAGAGGGAGCTCCATCGAAGGCCCCAGAGGCAGGGTTCGCATGCAGTTCCACCCACCTTGATTGCGGCGCACCCCTCACACGGTTCGTGGCCCCAAAGGGAGGAGCTCCACCGAAGGCCCCAGTGGCAGTGTTCGCATGCAGTTCCACCCTCATCTCGGCGCACCCCTCTCACGGTTTCGCGGCCCCATAGGTAGCTCCACCGAATGCCTCAGTGGCAGGGTTCGCATGCAGTTCCACCATCATCTCGTTGCACCCCTCACACGGCTCGTGGCCCCGTAGGGAGTTCCACCGAAAGCCTCAGTGGCAGGGTTCGCACGCAGTTCCATTTTGATTGCGGCGCACCCTCACACGGTTCGTGGCCCCATAGCCCCATAGGGATCTCCACCGAAGGCCACAGCGGCAGGGTTCGCATGCAGTTCCGCCCCCATTTCGGTGCCACTCGCGCGCCCCCCCTCCTTCGTCTCGTCTCCCTCGCGGTACTCGCAGTTGCATAGGGTTTGGTCCTTCGTCAGGCTTATGTTTTTTGACAGGGATGATGTGGGTGTGGGGGGTGAGCATGGTGTCCTCATTGTTCCTGGTTGGCTGCCGGTCGCCTGATGGAGGGTGTGTGTATTAATAGGGAACAGTGGTGAACCCCTCCAGCGAGCAGGGGGAGGAAGGGTTTTGGCAGAGAGAGGCGACAACATCCGTTAAGTTACCTGCGCCCAGAGGGCTGGCAGGATTCTCATCGGAACCAGCGCGTTTCATCTGATGCCGAGAGAGAGAGAGAGAGAGAAAGAGAGAGAGAGGGAGAGGGAGCGAGAGAGAGAGAGAGAGAGTGGAAGAGTGAGAGAGAGAGAGAGAGCCAGAGAGCACTGCAGCTCCAGTGTGCAGATTGGAATTTCTGCTGTGTGTAACAGCAACTGGGAGCCGTGTCGCCGATGAAGGTGCGTTCCTTGAGAACGCAGAGCTCCCCAGAAATAGTGAGACCGCTCGAAACACTATTCACTGCCGATTTTTTTGCACTGGCAATTCCGCGCGTGCCATCAGATGCCCATCAGTTGTTGGGAGCGTGCTCGTTGTTGCGGTCATGCTCCCCATGTAGCGCGGAACCTGCCATGAATGATACGACTGCTTGAAACCCTACGCGTTGGTTGTTGAAAGTAAGTATTCTTGGAATCCCAGATCCCAGTCTATTTCAAGCGCCTTCCTGCGTCAAGCATCGATCTGCTCTTGCTGTGTTTTGTTATTTTCTGGTAGGCCCTGAGCCCTGTATACTTTATCCGTATGCCTACTCCATGCTTATACATACAGTCAACCCGCATGGCAAGGATGGGCAACCTTCCCAAGGCTATCCTTGCATCCTTGCCCTTCGGCCCATCCTTAGCGACTTTCGCTGGCCAACGTTGACATGGCCCTCTAAGGCCCTTGCATCCTTACCGCGCATCCTTATTACACGGGTTGACTGTAATTTTCAACGCTTCGCGTACCCCCACCCGCCGATCTTGGAACGCCCAGGAGGTGAAGTGGTTCTTATCGGGTGAGCGTGGCATCGTCGAGATGCCTCGGGGAGCCTCGGTGGGCCAGATGCCGCTTGGATGCATCCCTGGGTCTTGTTTGAGGGTGTCTCTTGGAGGCCTCGCAGAGGCCTCTGGGGGGCTCCTTGGGGCTGCCTGGCGGCTCTCTTGGGGGCATCTTGGAGGCCAGCGAGTTGAAACAGGGGGCGGCGTTAGTTAGCCTCGCCCCCCAGAAGGCCAAACTTGGCCCAACACCTAACGAAACTAACCATTGTTGCTTTCTCCCTGAGGCCTTCTCAGACGCTCTAACCCCAGGGGGAGGTATCAAGACACCCTTTCCGCCCGCAAGCCGTCTCGCTCACTCCCACCCGCCCAACACATAAGTATCATCCGAGCCGCAGCGTGTTCAGCGGTAGTCTTTGGACGGACAGCACATCGGAACCCAAACAGACGCCATGTGCGCAACGCTGGGGCGAGGTGCGCCAGGCGTGCCAGGCGCGCCAAGCGCGCCAGGAGCGCCATGCACCCCTGTGGCCCAAGCGTGCCTGGCACGCCTGGTGCGCCAGATTCGCCACGTGATACGTGCGCCATCTGTGCCGCATGCTTCAGCCGCACTAGGTGCGCCACGTTCGGGGCACGCGCAGAGTGTGCCAGGCGCGCTCGCGCACGTTGCAGTACACATCGGGAAACGTGTCGGCCACCACCACCCTTGTCGAAAACCAGTGCGCAATCGCGGCGGGGTTGCCGTTATAGCGTCTGGTGGGCCTGCACATAACAGGGAATTTGCCAGCACCCCCGCCGTCCCAGTCAAAAACCAATGCACAGTGATCGCGGGGTGTCCGCGTATGATCCAGATTTTGCCTCGAAGTGCATTTTGTATTGTTTTTTGACGGGGATGGTGGCCCTGCGCGCATCAGGCAATCTGCGGGCATGCAATGCCGTCCCGGTCAAGACACAATGCGAAGTGCTCGCGGCCCCCCCGATCATGACTCATGATTGGGCTGCACACTGTCTTTTGACGGGGACGGTTGGAGGGCCATCGTTGGTCCTGGTTGGCTGCCGGTCGCCTGGGGGAGGGGAGTTCACAAACAGGGAGCAGTGATCCAGCTACCCTCAATCTGCAAGCCGTCTCGCTCACTCCCACCCGCCTTCCCAATACATGAGTAGCGCCTGAGTTTCAGCATGGGCAGGGGCCGCAGTGCAAACGCCAGGTGCGACACGCCCGCGCGGTGTGCCGCGCGTGCCGGGGTCCCGCCTATCATCATTTTCACTGTGAAGTGATCACGGGGCGCCCACGCGTGGTACACGATTTAGCCGCACCGTGTGCTTTGCATTGGTTTTGGTGGGCCTGCAAACGTGTGGCAAGATGCCGCCTCCCCCCCGATTTTGCGGCAACGTGATTTCTGTATCGTTTAGGCAGGGATGGTGGGGAGGCCTCATGGTTTCGTGTTTGTCGCAGGTCAGGTGGGGAAGGGGGATTGGAAGAGGAAGGGCTCTAAACCACCTCCGCCCAGAGGGCTGGTCGCATTCTCATCGGAGTGTTTGCTGCAGCTCCTGTCGAGTGCTCATGCTTTGCAGATGCGTTGGCATTGCCGCTGGATGCAGCACCAGTTTGTAGCCCAGAAGCCGTTGCAGGTGTGCTCATTGGCATCGCGGAGCCTGCCAGGAATGATGAGACTGCTTGAAACCCTAATTCTCATTGGAGTGCCTGCCACTTTGACGAAACCAGTGCGTGTCATCTGATGCCGATAGAGCGTTGGCATTACTGCTGGATGCAGCAGCAGTTTGAAGCCCAGAAGCTGTGGCAGAGGGGTTAATTTGCATCGCGGAGCCTACCAGGAATGATGAGACTGCTTGAAACCCTAATTCTCATCGGAGTGCTTGCCACTCTGACGAAATCAGTGCGTGTCATCTGATGCCAGTAGAGCGCTGCAGCTCCTGTTGAGTGCTCATTCTTTGCAGATGTGCTGGCATTACTGCTGGATGCAGCAGCAGTTTGGAGCCCAGAAGTTGTGGCAGATGGGTTCATTTGCATCGCGGAGCCTATCAGGAATGATGAGACTGCTTGAAACCCTAATTCTCATCGGAGTGCTTGCCACTCTGACGAAACCAGTGCGTGTCATCTGATGCGGATAGAGCGCTGCAGCTCCTATTGAGTGCTCCTGCCTTTCTGGTGCGTTGGCTTTGCCGCTGGATGCAGCAGCAGCAGCAGGAGCAGTTTTGGAGCCCAGAAGCCCTCGCAGAATTGCTTATTTGCATCGCGGAGCCTGCTAAGAGTGATGATATTGCTTGAAACCCTAATTCTCATCGGAGTGCTTGCCACTCTGACGAAACCAGTGCGTGTCATCTGATGCCGATAGAGCGCTGCAGCTCCGGTCGAGAGCTCATTCTTTGCAAGTGCCTTGGCATTGTCGCTGGCAGCAGCAGCAGCAGCAGGAGCAGTTAGGAGCCCAGAAGCCGTTGCGGGTGTGCCCAGGGGCATCGCGGAGCCTGCCAGGAATGGTGAGACTGCTTGAAACCCTTATTATCCTCGGAGTGCCTGCCACTCTGACGAAACCAGTGCGTGTCATCTGATGCCGATAAAGCGCTGCAGCTCCTGTTGAGTGCTCATTCTTTGCAGATGTGTTGGCTTTTCCGCTGGATGCAGCAGCAGTTTGGAGCCCAGAAGCCGTTGCAGGTGTGCTCAGTGGCATCGCGGAGCCTGCCAGGAATTGATGAGACTGCTTGAAACCCTAATTCTCATCGGAGTGCTTGCCACTTTGACGAAACCAGTGCGTGTCATCTGATGCCGACAGAGCGCTGCAGCTCCTGTTGAGTGCTCATTCTTTGTAGATGTGTTGGCATTACTGCTGGATGCAGCAGCAGTTTGAAGCCCAGAAGCTGTGGCAGAGGGGTTAATTTGCATCGCGGAGGATGCCAGGAATGATGAGACTGCTTGAAACCCTAATTCTCATCGGAGTGCTTGCCACTCTGACGAAACCAGTGCGTGTCATCTGATGCGGATAGAGCGCTGCAGCTCCTGTTGAGTGCTCATTCTTTGCAGATGTGTTGGCATTACCGCTGGATGCAGCAGCAGTTTGGAGCCCAGAAGCCGTTGCAGGTGTGCTCATGGGCATCGCGGAGCCTGCCAGGAATGGTGAGACTGCTTGAAACCCTAATTCTCATCGGAGTGCTTGCCACTTTGACGAGACCAGTGCGTGTCATCTGATGCCGATAGAGCGCTGCAGCTCCTGTTGAGTGCTCGTTCTTCGCAGATGCGTTGGCATTGCAGCTGGATGCAGCAGCAGTCTGGAGCCCAGAAGCCGTTGCAGGTGTGCTCATTGGCATCGCGGAGCCTGCCAGGAATTGATGAGACTGCTTGAAACCCTAATTCTTATCGGAGTGTTTGTCGCTTTGACGAAACCAGTGCGTGTCATCTGATGCCGATAGAGCGCTGCAGCTCCTGTTGAGTGCTCCTGCTGCGCAGGTGCGGCGGCTCTACTGCTAGATGCAGCAGCAGCAGTTTGAAGCCCAGAAGCGGTTGCAGGTGTGCTCATTGGCATCGCGGAGCCTGCCAGGAATGATGAGTCTGCTTGACACCCCAATTCTTGACGCTTCGCGTATCCCCATCAGGCCCTGATCCACACCCTGGATGCGTGTTCTGACGTCGCGATGGTCCGCCTCCGCCGTCAGGGTTTCCCCGCTGGACTGTGTCACCAGTCAGTCTGTGCCTACCCGTCAGACTCCTTGGATTGACGTCTTGCTCGGGACCGTTTCCTACCCGTTCGTACCCGAACTGTTGGGAACGCCTTACGCGCCATTTTGGCTGCGCTCTGCTTCCTCGGTGCCTGTGGTCAGACTCCCTGGATGCGCCGTTGCATGTTCCTTTCAGGGGCTGCCCTGCAGACTCCCTGGATTTGCACGCCTTGGCTCAGACGCCCTGGGTCGCTGCTGCCTGCCGCCTGACCGCGGTCCCGCGCGCGCCCGCTCCCTAGTCGCGGCCGCAGCCCGACCGTGACCGCCTGCCGCTGGCGCTTCCGCCTGCGGTTGTAAAAAAAATCCCCATCAGTACTGCTCGCCGCCGGCGCTTCCGCCTGCGGCTGTAAAAAAAAGTGGAGGGTGAAAGTGGGGGTCGGGCGCAGGGTCCCGGCAATGATGTTTTTTAAGGCCATGAATGGGCGATACATCCTCGATTGCTGTGTTCGGCGGGGGAACTAATTGAAGCCCCCCCCCTGCACCCGCGCGCGAGACTTGAGGGGAAAGGAAGCCAGGTGGCGGGGGGCTCGGGAAAGGCGACGAAGGCAACGTGCGCTAAGGGCGCAACAAGAAAAGGCTGGAACACACGAAAGCGGTCAGGTAAGTGTCGAAGTCTGCCCAGCCAATCTGACATGCGGAACACTGCGCCTCAGTTTTTGGGATCTTGAAGGCCAGGGCAAAATGTGAATTTACAGTGTGGGGAATAGCAACATGTGAATTCACATTTTGGGAAAAAGGAAAATGTGAATTCACATTTCGGGAAAAAGGAAAATGTGAATTCACATTTTGGAATTTTGTGTCGGATGCTTTATGAAGGGGCCAGAATGTGAGTTCACATTGTGGGAAAAAGGAAAATGTGAATTCACATTTTGGGAAAAAGGAAAATGTGAATTCACATTTTGGGAGAATCGCGGGGCCCATTCCAAATCTGTCTTGGGGGTCGAGAAGTCATCGTTTGGGAACATACGCGATCATCAACCGCACAATCAAGACACACTTGCACTCCACTTCGCCGACCCACACGCAATATGCAATAACGCCCGCACGCATGAACGATATTCCATGGACGGCGCGTGTGACCGCGCGGGCAACGCGCGGGCACGAATGACTGGCCATCAGTGACCGCCAGCATTGGATGCCAATCGTACCCGATCACATACATGAACGATACATTGAGCATACATGGGCCATTCAGCCCCCATTGAAGACCCCCTGTTGCACACCCCCTCTTTCACCCTCCCAAAAAAGTATCCCCATCAGCCCATCCAGAAACGATGCCTATTCGAGTTGCCTCTCAGACTCTCCTCGGATGTCTCTTGAAAGTTTTTTTGGGGCCTCCTGGAGCGTCTTGGGGGCCTCCTTGGCGGTCCCGGAGGCCCTGTGGAGCGTCTTGGGTGCCTCGGGGAGCCTCTTGGGGCCTCTTGGGGGTCTCTTGGGAGCCCCTTGGAGGCCTCTTGGGCGCCTCTTGAGGCCTCCTGGGCGCTTCTTGTGTCCCTCTTGAGGCGCTCTTGGAAGCCTTAGGGGCGCTCTCGGGGCCATCTTGGAGGAGATCGATCAAAGAAGGGGGGGTCCTTAATTAAGGCCCTCCCTCGGGAGTCCCACAAATCGCCTCTTGGGCCTCTCTTGGGGCGCCCTTTGAGCGCTCTTGGGCGCTTTTGGGGCCCTCTTGGAGCCGTCTTGAGGCCTCGGACGGCCATGCGAAGCGAAAAGGCGAGAAGGCAAAAATCATTGATTGCGGAGGCCTTACGGCCGGTGTCGACGACGACGACGACGACGACGACGACGACGACGACGACGACGACGACGACGACGACGAGCGCTCTCGGGGGCCTCTTGGGGGTAGTTTGGGGGGAGCCTTTTTGGAGGCTCTTGGGGGCCGCTTGGGTGCCTCGTGGGGGCCTCTTGGGGTTTCCTGGTTCTCTTGGGGGCCTCTTGGGCCCTCGGGGGGGGCTTTTTAGGTGCCTCTGGGGGCCTCCTGGGAGCTTCTCAGGCCGAGGGCTCGAAATGACCGTTCGGGTCCCCCGTCTGCGCTCACTCTTGGAGCCGTCTTGGGGGCCTCTTCGGCTGTCTTGGAGGCCTCTTGGGCGGTCTTGGGGCCCTCTTTGGTCGTAATTGGGCCCTCTTGGAGGCCTCTTGGGCTATCCTGGGGTAGTCTTGGGGGCCTCTTGGCCTGTCTTGGAGCGTCGGGAAGTTGGCAAGGCGAGGATGCCGAAATCTTTCAAACACCCAAGAACAATCGATGAGTTTTGCCCCTTGGGGTCCTGTTGGAAGTCCTCTGGAGGCCTCTTGGGGCGTTTTGGAAACCTTTTGAGCCTTCTGGAGACTGTTTTGGCGACTTGGACCGATACTTCGGCGAATCGGGGCCCTCGAGGACTGTCTTGGGGGCATCTTGGGGCACTTTTGCCGCGTCTTGGGGCTTTTCTGGGCACCCGAACCGCCCGGGGGGGTCGTATCTAGGTGGCGACCCCCCTCGGGAGCCCCCCTCGGGAGCTCCCCCGGGACCCCCCCAGGACCCGCCCCCGGGACCCCCCCCCGGACCCTCCCCCCCGCCCGTCGGGGAAGCGAGCAAAGGGAAGGGGCTTTCCTTCGACTCAAGTATAACGTTGCTCAATTTCGCTGTGGCTGGCGCGCTCTTGGAGGAGGGCCCGGTGAAAGTGGGGGGATCGGCGACGGGACTATGGAAAGGGGAGAGGAGCGGCGAAGGCGACGACGATTCCGACGACAACGACCATGACGACGACTACGACGAGTGAAACGGAACAGCCTCTTCCACATGCCGACAGGGTCGGCGGATTTTCTTTACTCTTGGCGGCCTCCTGGAGGCTTCGTGGCCACTTGGAGCCGTCTTGGAGCGTTCGTGGGGCCTCTAGAAGCATTTTGGGAGCCATCTCGAGGTATCTTGGGCTATCTTGAGCCATCTTGGAGGTCATCTTGGGCTCTCCGAGGCCTTCTTGGAACCGTCTTGGGCTATCTTAGACGCTCGAACTTCCCGCGGATCCCCCGTCCAGGTCCAGGGAAGGCGGTAGGGGGAGGGATAAACCCTTCTCCGAAGGGGAAGAAGGGGGTTGGAAGGAGCCTCCCTAGACCACCTACGCCCAGAGGGTTGGTGGGATTCTCATCGGAGTGCTTGTCACTCTGACGAAACTAGTGCGTGTCATCTGATGGCGATAGAGCGCCGCAGTTCCAGTCGAGTGCTGATGCTGTGTGCGTTGGCATTGCCGCTGGATGCAGCAGCAGCAGCAGAAACAGTTTGGAGCCCAGAAGCCGTTGCAGGTGTGCTCATTGGCTTTGCGGAGCCTGATAGGAATGATGCGACTGCTGGAAACCCTAATTCTCATCGGAGTGCTTGCCACTCTGACGAAACCAGTGCGTGTCATCTGATGCCGATGAAGCTCTACAGCTCCTGTCGAGTGCTCATGCTTTACAGATGTGCAGATGTGTTGGCAGCGCTGCAGCTCCTGTTGAGTGCTCATGCTTTGCACATGCGTTGGCTTTTCCGTTGGATGCAGCAGCAGTCTGGAGCCCAGAAGCTGTTGCAGGTGTTCTCATCAATATCGCGGAACCTGCCAGGAATGGTGAGACTGCTTGAAACCCGTTCTCATCGGAGTGCTTGTCATTCTGACGACACTGATGCGTGTCATCTGGCACCGATAGAGCTCTGCAGCTCCTGTCGAGTGCTCTTGCTTTGCAGGTGCGTAGGTTTTGCCGCTAGATGCAGCAGCAGCAGTGGAGCCCAGAAGCCGTTGAAGGTGTTGTCATCAATATCGCGAAGCCTGCCAGGAATGATGAGACTGCTTGTAACCCTAATTCTCATCGGAGTGCTTGCCACTCTGACGAGACCAGTGCGTGTCATCTGATGCCGATAGAGCGCTGCCGCTCCAGGCAAGCGCTTATGCTTTGCAGATGCGTTGGCATTGCCGCTGGACGCAGCAGCTGCTCGGAGCCGAGAAGCCGGTGCAGGTTTGCTCATGGGTACCGCGGAGCCTGCTAGGAATGATGAGATTTGCTTGAAAGCCTAATTCTCATCGGACTGCTTGTCACTCAGACGAAACCAGTGCGTGCCATCTGATATCGATAGAGCGCTGCCGCCCCAGTCGAGTTCTCATGCTTTACAGAGTCGTTGGCATTGCCGCTGGATGCAGCAGCTGTTTGGAGCCCAGAAGCCGTTGCAGGTGTGCTCATTGGCATCGCGGAGCCTGCCAGGAATGATGAGACTGCTTGAAATCCTAATTCTCATCGGAGTGTTTGTCGCTCTGACGAAACCAGTGCGTGTCATCTGATGCCCACAGAGCGCTGCAGCTCCAGTCAAGTGCTCATGCTCTGCAGACGCGTTGGATTGCCGCTGGATGCAGCAGCAGCAGCAGCAGCAGCAGCTTGGAGCCCAGAAGCCGTTGCAGGTGTCCTCATGAACATCCCAGAGCCTGCCAGGACTGACGAGACTGATTACTACTGCGTGCCATCTGATGCCGATAGCAGCTCCAGTCGAGTGCTGATGGTTTGCAGACGGTTTGGTTTTGCCGCTGGATGCAGCAGCAGTTTGGAGCTCAGAAGTCGTTACAATTTGCTCACTGGCATCGCGGAGCTTGCCATGAGTGATGAGTCTGTTTGAAGCCTCCTGAGTATCAGCGGTGTTCTTGGCGCTCTGGAGAATTCATAGACTTTCGTTTGATGCCAAGAAATAATATACTGCTTCAGTCGAGGTCGTGTGCTGTTTCAGGTCTGTTGGTCGGCAAACATCTTCACAACCCTTCCCATGCAGAGTCGATGACGGGGCGTGTGTCCCGGCCAATTCCTGTAGTTTCGGGGCGGCGGGGAAGTGGGGCAGGCTTCGTTCACCTCTGAGCAGCTGTGCAGTCGTTGAGAGTCTGGACAGGTGCTGCCCCACCCCCTTCGGTGAGAGTCCAGGCGTTGAGCGTTCCGCTGTGCGCAACAGTCGTTGAGGGTCAGACTGTATCGACGGAATACTTTTTTTCAGGATCCGCCTCCCGCTCACCCCCCCTTCAGTCGTGGGGCGTGG